AGATTGCGAACATCAGGCCAGTCAGTTGGGGTATGTAGGGCAAATTCTCCATTTCCCCCCAAAATGACTTGATTATAATGACTAAGTTTTAAAGCTGCAAATAAGCTTTTATAAAGCGCTTTTACACGATCAAGAAGACCGTACCCAGAATAACATATAACATTTTATGACGATCTGATCAAACGTAATTTCACGCTGGTTTAAGCCGAGGGCAAAAGATAGTGTATAATCTATATCTATATACAACGTGTCCCAAAATTCAAGGATAAGCCGGCGCCGCAGGATGGACATAGTCATGACTACTTTAGGAAAAATAAGAAAAAAAATCTATCTCAATTATTTTTTAAGTTACACAATAAATTATGAAANAAATGACACCGACATCAAGGTTCATCAATTTAAGTTTAAAATAATAGGCAGTGTAATGTATGAAGAAAGAGCTTCTATTCTGTATCTACCTATGCCCGTGTATTTTTGATCGGTGTCAAATCGGAGTTTTTGGTGCGGGGTACGCGGGTGTTGCTCGCGGCGTGAAGGTCAAACGCCCAAGGTCATTGAGGACTCTAATCGCCTTAATGATTCAATAAGGTAACATCTATCGTGTGAATTACAACTGGGGTCACCCTGGTGGTGTTAGATTTGATGAGCCCATGGCCCATGCCTTAACGACGTGCCATGTATTCAATACTTTTGAAAATTATAATGCATGCTTTAGCATGTTATAGACATTGTACTGGGGCAATGTCTTTAACTTTTTCGAAATCTGAGTATTTTAAAATTAAAGTACTTTTGGAAGTCCTTCATAATAAATATTTTTTTAATTATAAGATTAAGTTAAAAATGCCTAGTTCAAAACGATTGATGTACCTAACAGTAAAATGACTGTTGATTTGTGCACATTCACTCTGAATTCATGTAGATAAAGTAAGCGTCAACAAACGGTAACAAACAGGCGAGAACTGCGTATCTCATAGCATTATACAGGGTGTTAGGTAAATGGGTATATGAGCCGACACTAGCCCATGCTAACATGGGCATATAAATGGTATGGTGAAGTCAGAAATTTGATATCATCATTTTATTTTTTTAAATTTTCATACAAAATAAATTTTATAACATCCGATTTGTATGAAAATTAAAATAATTAAAATGAAGATATCAATTTTCTGACTTCACCATACCATTTATACAACGTGTCCCAAAATTCAAGGATAAGCCGGCGCCGCAGGGTGGACCTAGTCATGACTGCTTTAGGAAAAATAAGAAAAAAAATCTATCTCAATTATTTTTTAAGTTACACAATAAATTATGAAATTCGTCGAAAATTGACACCCCTTATGATATTTTACATTACCACGACTACAATTTTTCGAATACTTCCGTTTTTTTGTTTGTATCGGCAACTTAAGTAGTGCTGCTGTCCACCCCAATTCTTAAAACCCTCAGAATCCTTGCAGTTTTTACACAAAAGTTAATCAAAATATGATATTTCCTTAAAATTTTGTACGATTTTTACTTACACTCCACTTTGACTCGTCTTTTTGTAAAAAAACAGTATGAACACTACTGCGGCAAGTTTTTTATAAAGTTGACGCAACTATCCAAGATTCCAAAATGGTATAATACACTATGAAAACTAGTCGCAAAAAGATATGCGTACCATTTTTACAAGCACTTCGCTTGTTAGTTAGTATGGGATAAATCTTGCAACTGAATTTAAAACCAGTTCTCCTTAACCAATTGAGCTGAAATTTGGTATACTTGTGTAAGTACGATGACAATGCAATATTATGGTACCATTGAGCTGGATGGAGTATGGAGGTGGCCATAAGAACTCTTAACGAAACGGCGAAATTACATCTAGTTTGGGTTCGTTGGACTTGTCTTTTCGAGCACTTTAGTGCTAGATGATGTTCAGGGTCCTGATGATGAAGTCAAGAGGTGGCAGGAGCTGGCCATAGGAACTCCTAAACGAAACGGCGGAAGCTTATCGAGTTTGGGTTCGTTGGATTTGTCTTCCCGAGCACTTAGGCCATGAGATTGAGAAACAACTAAAAAGCTTAAAATAAAGTTGTAATAAAAAAAACTTATTTAAAAACAAGCTTGACTTCGTTTGAAAATTATAATTGACTTCATCATCAGGACCCTGGACATCATCTAGCACTAAAGTGCTCGAAAACACAAATCCAACGAACCCAAACTCGATAAGCTTCCGCCGTTTCGTTTAGGAGTTCCTATGGCCAGCTCCTGCCACCTCTTGACTTCATCATCAGGACCCTGAACATCATCTAGCACTAAAGTGCTCGAAAAGACAAGTCCAACGAACCCAAACTAGATGTAATTCCGCCGTTTCGTTAAGAGTTCTTATGGCCACCTCCATACTCCATCCAGCTCAATGGTACCATAATATTGCATTGTCATCGTACTTACACAAGTATACCAAATTTCAGCTCAATTGGTTAAGGAGAACTGGTTTTAAATTCAGTTGCAAGATTTATCCCATACTAACTAACAAGCGAAGTGCTTGTAAAAATGGTACGCATATCTTTTTTGCGACTAGTTTTCTTAGAGTATTATACCATTTCGGAATCTTGGATAGTTGCGTCAACTTTATAAAAAACTTGCCGCAGTAGTGTTCATACTGTTTTTTTACAAAACGACGAGTCAAAGTGGAGTGTAAGTAAAAATCGTTCAAAATTTTAAGGAAATATCATATTTTGATTAACTTTTGTGTAAAAACTGCAAGGATTCTGAGGGTTTTAAGAATTGGGGTGGACAGCAGCACTACTTAAGTTGCCGATACAAACAAAAAAAGTTAAGTATTTGAAAAATTGTAGTCGTGGTAATGTAAAATATCATAAGGGGTGTCAATTTTCGACGAATTTCATAATTTATTGTGTAACTTAAAAAATAATTGAGATAGATTTTTTTTCTTATTTTTCCTAAAGCAGTCATGACTAGGTCCACCCTGCGGCGCCGGCTTATCCTTGAATTTTGGGACACGTTGTATGCCCATGTTAACATGGGCTAGTGTCGGCTCATATACCCATTTACCTAACACCCTGTATGTATGAAACTTTCTTCGAAATGACGCTCCATGCAAATGCGCCGCTTTACAATATAAATAAGATGCTATCATAATAAAACCATACAACTTTTCGTTGTGATGACATAATCTCAAAATATGCAAAAATATTATTGAAGAAATCAATGAAAAAATTAAACGACCCTCCCTAAACTTATATTAATTTGATTACTTATACCCCACTAAGTTTTATCTAGTTTTATTTTCTACTCATGTATTTAGTTACAACAATTTAGTAATCAGCTACTAGACCTTGAAATTATCAGTTTGTGTCTTTTAAATTAATTTTTAAAGAGCTTTTTGCCTCAAAAAGTATGAGTTATGAAAACCTTGCGTTTACAACCCCAACAGTTTTTGTTAATATTTGGCTTGTAAACTTACAAAGGCAAAGAAAAATGATCACGGAGGTAGTGATAAAAACCTACCAAGCATACTTTGGTATAAAACTTCCATAAAAGAATAAATATTGGGGGTCCAATATCGTCTGCAAGTCTTATGTAGACTGCTATACTGGAGTCAAGCAGGACGTAAAGGACTTCAATTTGGAAGGCCAAAGTTATGAACTGAGCTTTCTAATCACTTAAATTATCAAAAGTCAGCCAAATTAATGTCTTTTACATCCTGAAACGTCCGTTTGAATACGGAAAAAATAAATTCGATTGACCGCAAATCCGTACTCTTACAAAAGACACTGTATTTGTAAACCACATAACAAAAATTTAATCTGAAGCATGGCTAAGCTTTCTTTTAGTAGTCAAACAATACTTGGGGAGGCATAGAGCACCAGACTTTTCAGAATTGGTTGCTAAATTGTTTTAAAAATTTCACACATAAGGAGCTTATTTGAGTATTAATTCATTTTTTTACAATAGCCATTTGGACAGTTTCTCACATAATCTGGGTGATTAGTGAGGAATAAGCAGAACGGTTCCACCAGAACATCAGGATAGTGGAAGAAAGATATCCAAGGTCAATGGGACCGCCAGATGATGGCTGATTACTGTTTACATAATTATGGAATTTTCCTGACCAAAACCATAACATAAAAGCTTACAGAAAAAGCTTTTGTAGATTTTTTTCTATTATTTGATGTAAAGCAATTATATTTTAATTTTTATATTGTTCTTAAATAGGATCTTAGTGTAATTTTTTAATACAGATTGGTATTTTTATTTAGTTTTTTTTTTTCATTTAAATAGTTAATAGCATTTATCTCAAGATCTAGAGTCAATTTGACAAATCTAATAATGTTCTAGTATTCAGCACACTAGTCGCATACAGAATTGACTCTAAACTACCATGCCGCAAAATGACTGTTCCCCAGTGTTATCAGTCATTCTATGATTAATTCTTCATAGTCCAAAACCTTAGACATTATTATTAACTTATGCAAGCACAAATCATATGTTTTATCCTCCTATATTCTTTTAAATTGTAACAAACATACAAAAAAATATAAAAATAGTTTTTTGGCTCTAAATATTATAAGATGTTATCTTAGCTAATTTTAATACATAATTCTATTGATAATATTACTTATAATTATTTATTATAATACATATTCAAAGAAAAATATTGAGTGAGACAAATCAACTCATAACTAATTTACTTTGATCTAGGTGAGACATATTTTATTACTCCAGTTCAAAATTCAACTCCTTAGAAAAGAACAGTAATTAAGAAAACATAAACAGTCTTTAGGTAAAACAATATGTAATTTATTTCCTAAATGTGTTAGATGCTATGTAACATATCATTGTGAAAAAATATGATGGCAATACTTAAAGTAAGTAATACATATTATTATGATATATTAAAATATAATAATATAACATGTTTCATATAATAATAATTTCAATTATTGAAAAGACACTTAAACATGTTGTCCAACTGCAAAATTTATATTTTTTTCTAGAAATGCTGTTAAATACAATTAATATTCATTATTTATCATTGTTAAAACTACAATACTGAAATTAATACCATTCAACTACCTACTTATCAAAAAATTCAACAACTATTAAAACTATTAAGATGATGTATGTAACATTTTGGTTTAGTGTAGATTAGGCTGTCTCAATGACTCCCGGTTTTCATTCTTAGCATGCTTCTTGAGCAAATCCATTATTTCATTATCAAATTCACTTGGAGTTGGTTTCTTTTCTACAATCCAGTGGAATATGTCCCAGTCGTTGCTGGGAGAATTGATTAAGCGATCATACATCATAGTCTGCTCTTCATTAAATCCATCCAGGAATTTCTTTGCAAATGTACTCAGTAGAAGATCATTTTCAAGCATTCCTCTTTTGCGAGATTGATAATGAAGTCTGAAATAAATATTGAATTTGTTAAAAATGTATCTAACTCTTGTCGAGGTAACGTCAAAGCAGCGTGCAAGTTTTCCGCAACATACAAACCTTGCCTTGCGTTTTTGTAAAGTTTGTGGCTTGTTGATGTCGTAAACAGGAATTTCCATGTACGTCGTATCCATCGTTGTGTTTGAAGCACTGCTCATACGCACAGCGTTGGGTGCTGATTGTACTTTTTGCAAAACATTCAACACCTGAAAATAGCGGAGGCATACTGTTTAAGAATCGTTAAGAAACAAAAATCATTTTACTAATTTGTGAAATACATACCGTTCGTAGACGATACATGATGAATATAAGTCCTTTCCTTTACTTACTACAACTCCTACAAGTCGTATTACGAGTTATTTTTGTTTTGCAGAAATCGCGAAAAATTTCATCGAAGGAAACAGGAAAATCGAGATTTTTGACAATTATGACATGACATTGACATTGACGTTTGTTTCTTTTTCAAATATTTTCAAGCTTTGAGACAATGGTCTTAGTCTTTAGTTTAATCACATCATTTCACTCAGATGGCGCTTTCGTTGACAAATAGTTTGTATAGGTCTACCAGAATCTCATGGCAAACAAAAATATTGGAAAAGTGTGTTTTTCATATGGCAATTGTCTATATCGCAAAGTGCAAACCAATCGAAAAATGGTCCTTTTTTTGTATGAAGTTATAACGGATTCGATTTTCGAATCGATCAAAAATGCAACTTGTCTAGGGGAGCAGGTTTCAGTACAAATAAAGTATCACATCTTTACTGAAAGTTGAAACTGTAGGGAAAGAGGATGTGCAAACCGCACGAAGCCATAACTGCACAAAAAAAGTTGCAATGTGCATTTGCAATCTGTGGTCGTGTTACCATAGCAACGGCAAATGACAGTTGTGTACAAACAAGTTTTCATCGTTGGTTTCTTTCTAAAAACTTATTTCATCATTTTAAAGTAATGGTATCGATTATTTTGTGTCTATACGTATATGAATTATGCTAGATTGATGTACTGGTGAATTTCGTTGCATAGAAACATGGCACGCGTTCGTGAATTAGTTTTACACACTGCAGGTACGTGCAAGCCAAAATGTAATGTCTCATCATTCCTATTTCTCAATTGCCGATTGCAAATGATAGTTTTTAAGGATCATGCCTGCTGGTACCGCTTACCAAAACGCCTACAGGCTGGATCATTCTCACTTTCTTCGTTTGCGACTTAGCGGTTAGAACTGTTATTTCATTATAAGTACTTAAAGTTTTCTTAGAAATCAGTTAAATCATTATAATCCTCAAATCCTGCCTAATCACTTAAAGAATTAATATTTTTATTAATATTTCCTCAACTTAATACATAAACAAAAAGTGTTTGATGCCTTGTTCCTTTTTTCAGAACATTATTACAACACCACAAATTTGAATTTGAATCCAAAATCAGAGGAATGTCTCTCAGAATTTATACATCATCCTCAGACTTTAGTGCTTCAAGCCTTGATTCAAGATAATACTATACTTCTATTTACTAAGGTTTGAGTAACATTCTAGGATATTTGTGTCTTAGTTTGTTCAGATTTTCTTTGATATTTTTGTAATGTAAATATTTTAAATTAAAATCTTTTTATGTACTGGTTTTAGATGGTGAATGATAAGCAAAAGTCTATTATCTTCTATAAGCCGGCTGCATTAGACCTAGCTGCAGATGACGCAGTCAACAGTATAAACATTATTACACTTTCAAATAATGTGGCTGAATCTTTGTATCATATTCTGAAACAAATATACTCCCCACTTTTAGCCAATGTAAGTAATTTAATGAACACCATAGTGGTAGTAAGTAAAGTTAGTGAATGAACACAGTAGTGAATTTCAACTTATGTTCACTGATATCACTGATCTGTAAAACTAAACTTTATATTTCAGAATAATGATCTAATTTCAAACAAACTGCACAAGAATCTTGCCGATTTAGAGTCCAATTTAAGAATAATCACACAAGGGAAAGGCAGTGATAATACTGGTAGTTATACTTTGTACACTTTTTCATTTGATATTTAAATAATAAGAAAAAGTAATAAGATCATAATGATAAATAATTTTAACTTATATTTCAGTAATATTGTCTGTTGATGATGAAATAGAATATTGGAGATCAGTAGTAGATAAAAGGGATGCCAGTAAAAAAGAAAAGGAAGGGGCATCTGCTTTTCTTGATCTCTTTGAAGACATATCTGAAGAGCTAAGGTATTATTTAGTTATTATTACAGAAAACTTTCAATTAAAAAACTTACTATTTATCTTAATGGTATTCTGTCTTGGATTTCAGATCAATGCTTGCAAGTAATATGTCTGAAACTAGGGAGGCAGTTGAAAATGTTGGAGGACTTTTAGATGATGTGTGGAGGCTGTCTACCTTTCCTTACACTCAAGAAAGAATGATACACATGTTTGATGTAATTGGTGAGTTGAAATATTGTTTCGTGTTTAAGGTAGCATTCATATCTTGGCAGTTGCGAATAAGCCACGCCCCAACTGCCCAATGTTGCGTAGGCGCCGCTAAACCGTTTTAAAATTCTTATTTTTTAGTTCAATACTAATTAAAGTGTATTTATTTCAGCATATTTCATTTGTTCAATTGTTCAGAAAGCCTTTCCATCTGTTGATTTGTGGAAGGTAAAAGAAGGGATCAAAGAAATCGAAATATTAAATATTCTCATGGAAAGTTTGAAAGTAATTCAAACTTGGATCAGTGCCTGTAAATCACTTACAGAAACATACTGGCCGAATTATGCTCTACACATTTGGAGTGGAAAACCTTATATTCCAGCTTATTGTGTAAACTTTGAAAAAAGACTAAAAGAGGTTTGTTCCTTGATAATTCTTTAAGTTAATCACATTGTTTTACTTAACTCTAGCGTATGCTGTTGAATAATTCATTTACAGATTCATGAAATAAGATCTACTTACACCCAACTCAATAAGTTGCTAACAAATTATGAGAAGGATGAGCTAAAAATTCAATATTTATTTGAACCTTTTGAAAGTAAGTAATAATATTGTATTTTCACTATACATACATGTGTTTATTTTACCAATTTTTACCTTCTAAATATCATACAATGGCTAAACAGAAAAAGTATTTAGCAATTTTTTCATTTTTTTTATAGATATCAATGTGTGGATTTGTAATGGACAAAATCAAGCATGGGAAACAGCGATTTCAAGATTTTCTTCGAGTTTACGTCCAGCCGAAACAAAAATTGCTGAGAAACTTAAGCCTAGATTGCATAACACGTCATCTAAACAGGTAAATCGAACCCGATAGACAGATTATTCAGAAGTATTTTAAACAGTAAGTAGGCACTTTGAAATCTTAAACCATTAATTATAATGTTTGTTATATCTTTTCAGATGCTTTATGAGTTTATGAGATACAAAGCACTAATAGATAGACCTTTAGTAAAACAGGCACTAAATAATGAACTTGAAACATTCGTTTCTTCTCTACTTTCTATGGTAAAAGCAATAAAAAATCAACTGGATTCTGAGGATATTGATGTCCAAATGTATCAACCACCAGAAATGTCACTTGTAGTACAACAAATACAATGGGCTAAGCAGACAGAAGCTAAAGTAATTTTTTAAATATTATTTTTGTCTTTTTAGATATTTTATTATGATTTGAAATTAATTACAATGTTTAAATACATTGTACATGCAGGTTAAAGATATTCGTACTTGTGCCGACAAATACCTCGTTGGTTTCGACGGAACCCCTGAGCTTGTCAAACTGGCGGATCAGGTACTAAAAGACCTGAAAACACTGTACACCCAACTCCACGAAGAGTGGTCCCGAGATTTACAGGTAAATTATTATAACCAATGTTTGTAATGTTCACACCACAAGACCCAACCCCAGGATATTGGGCAAACGATTCGAATCGAAGATGATAGTTTATCCTATATGTAGACAGTAACTGGCCCGTGGTCGTCACCCGAGAACTTTTTTGCCCCAGCGACCGTCAGCTCTACGAGCTATGTGCTTCGCTCACTGCTACTTGATTTTAGAAATTCTGTGAGCTATGCAAGTCACTTAGGTTTTCCTGCAGATCTCCTTATTTCTGTTTCGATCACTTCTTCACACGTGTAAATGAACCTGATTTTAATTCGATTGTATTTTATAGGCGCAGGTCAAAAACGGCTCTCTTCAGCTGTCGTCGGACGAGCCGGTGGTGCAGTTCAGTGGCGACAGCCAGCTTATGGTGGTGCGATACGACGGGCGCGCCACGCGACTGGAGCGCGAGGCGCGCGCGCTTCGAGCCCTGGCGTTGCCGCCGCCGCCGCCAGCCGCCGCCGCGTTAGACCAGCTTGGACGCGCGTTATGTCACGCTCAACGCCTGCATCAGGTGGGTATAGAAAGGAGAAGCAGGTGCAGCACTACCACCAGTGTTACTACCCGCCCAGCTCGTGGGACTATAGGCTGCGTCCACCTCCGCTGTATTCGCACCGCGTTAGATCAGCTCGGACGCGCATTATGTCACGCTCAACGCTTGCACCAGGTATAGAAAGGAGATGTGGGTGTAGCACTATGATTAGCTGCGGCGCCTGATGTTGCCCGCTCAAATCGTGCAGAAGCCCGCGCCTGCCTACTCTGTGTTCCAGACTCCGCGCGCAAATAGGTACGAATATGAAGTTCAGCGGCGAAAGCCAGCTCATGGTGGTGCGCTACGACGGGCGCGCCACGCGGCTGGAGCGCGAGGCGCGCGCGCTTCGAGCCCTGGCGTTGCCGCCGCCGCCGCCAGCCGCCGCCGCGCTAGACCAGCTCGGACGCGCGTTATGTCACGCGCAACGCCTGCACCAGGTATAGAAAGGAGATGTGGGTGTAGCCCTATGATGAGCTGCGGCGCCTGATGTTGCCCGCTCAAATCGTGGACAGAGGCCCGCGCCCGCCTTCGCTGTATTCGCAAACATCGCGCGCAAGTAGGTACGTATATGAAGTTCAGCGAGGTCAGCCAGCTCATGGTGGTGCGCTACGACGGGCGCGCCACGCGGCTGGAGCGCGAGGCGCGCGCGCTTCGAGCCCTGGCGTTGCCGCCGCCGCCGCCAGCCGCCGCCGCGTTAGACCAGCTTGGACGCGCGTTGTGTCACGCGCAGCGCCTGCACCAGGTATAGAAAGGAGATGTGGGTGTAGCACTATGATTAGCTGCGGCGCCTGATGTTGCCCGCTCAACTCGTGGACAGAAGCCCGCGCCCGCTTCCGCTATATTCGCAGACATCGCGCACTTACAGTACGTATATTATTATGGAGTTTAGTAGCGTCAGCCAGCTCATGGTGGTGCGCTACGACGGGCGCGCCACGCGGTTGGAGCGCGAGGCGCGCGCGCTGCGAGCCCTGGCACTGCCGCCGCCGCCGCCAGCCGCCGCCGCGCTAGACCAGCTTGGACGCGCGTTATGTCACGCTCAACGTCTGCACCAGGTATAGAAAGGAGCTAGATGTGGGTGTAGCACTATGATTAGCTGCGGCGCCTGATGTCGCTACCCGCTCAGCTTATGGGGCTGCAACACGCGCCCGCCTCCGCTGTATTCGCAGACAGAGCGCGCAAAAAGGCACGTATATGGAATTCAGTGGGGTCAGCCAGCTCATGGTGGTGCGCTACGACAGGCGCGACTGCTTCTTCTCAGCACTGACCCATTTATTGTCCCAAAGCAGTGGTAGGATTAAAGTAATATTGGGAACTTGGGGAGTGTAAAAGCACTTTTCAAAAGCCTTTTTGCAGAAAATAAATTACTTTTATGAGTTTGGTTGGTCTTCAATCCACTGAGCCTTTTGGTTGGGCCATTGAATTTTACGCACGGATACAGATAAGTACAGGCCCCGGCACATGTGAGGAATGTTTTGATGCTGTTTCCATTATAAAAAAAGGTATTCACATAGAAGTATCTTTGGCACGGCAGTGAAACGGTGCAGGGATGTATTTTATTACATCGTTAAAATGTTAGTGAGATTTCAGACCTGCACCTTACGCGTTCTATTCTCCCGTCAGGTGGCGTCCTTCCACAACACGCTAGGCGAGCGGATGATCCCGTCGACGCGGCCGATGATGCTGCAGGCTGCCATGGACCTGTCGCGGCTGGTGCGCGACCAGAAGGCGGCCTACTGGAACGACACCGACCACCTCGCCAAGTACACTGACGACTTGAAGAGAATCGTGCTCAAACTCGAGTCTCAGGTAAATAAACGATTATATGGTGATAATAGTGCTTTTACTCGCACGTTTCGAATCGCGCGATCGTTTGGTACTGAGGTTTATACATTCTATCCACATGCAGTCGCACTTTTTGCTGTCCGATTACTGCTGACTGCTTAGACTGAATGACTTGCAAAATTAAACAGTAGCAGCGATACTGACCTTTTTGACCCCCGACGGAAAGAGGGGTGTTTCTCTTACTGATTGTGAGTACAGTCAGCGTCAAATAGTTTGTGACACCCAAAGTGGCCAAATAGTTGACAACACGACCTTATTCCAATTGTAACAAAGACGTGTTACGAACTTTTAGGCTATTTTGGGTGTCACGAACTATTTGACGCTGACTGTATACTTGTAATTAATGTGTGTAATATCTTAATTGCATGATTATTGTTGATTCCAGAATACCTATTTAACCAATCAGCACATTGCAATAAGAAACATTGTCGAAAGTTTACTGGACACTGAACTTTTAGCGCAACAATCCGAATGGAAAAAGAAAATAAAAGATATCAGAGATATTATTGAGAAGGTAAATGATAATTATAACTTTTCTAAATCTAGAGATAGTGTGTTTCAGTGTTGATATTCTTATTATTACCTATTTCAGGTAGAAGCAAACGGTTACAAGAATACAGAATCGTGGCGCACCCACTGGGACTGGCAACTGTATAAAGTGCTGGAATGTCAGTACATCAAAACGTTGCTCTCCCTTCACAAACATTTTCCGCATGTCAAAGTTGACTTGGTCCTTCGGTAAGTTTATGAACTCTATATAAGCTTAACGTGCGATTAGATAAGACCAGGTTTTACGTGACAGGATAAAAACAAGAATGTATGATGCAATTTCAGATTTTGTTATCATCGGTGTTATTACCGGTCAACAAAAATGTGTGATGTAATTTCAGATCTTATCATCGTCAGTTAAATTTAGCTGTATTGTATTTTATTAACCGACTCGAAATACACGGAATGTTGTGGTTCGAACCTTGCGGACGATTATTGTGGTGAACCCACTCGTAACACAAACATATTAGCTTAGTGCGAGGGGTTATAAGGGACTATTAGTGATTTGTACAATGCAAAAAGTGCCTCCAATAGCTAGTAAATAGGGTTCAAAATAATTCGCAGGGGTCACATGGTGCGCGCTTAGTGCGAGGGGTTATAAGGGACTATTAGTGATTTGTGCAATGCAAACAGTGCCTCCAATAGCTAGTAAATAGGTTTGAAAATAATTCGCAGGGGTCACATGGTGCGCGCTTAGTGCGAGGGGTTATAAGGGACTATTAGTGATTTGTGCAATGCAAACAGTGCCTCCAATAGCTAGTAAATAGGGTTCAAAATAATTCGCAGGGGTCACATGGTGCGCGCTTAGTGCGAGGGGTTATAAGGGACTATTAGTGATTTGTGCAATGCAAACAGTGCCTCCAATAGCTAGTAAATAGGGTTCAAAATAATTCGCAGGGGTCACATGGTGCGCGTGCAGCCGCCTATGGAGGAAGTGAGGGCGCAGCACTACCACCAGCTGCGGCGCCTGGTGTCGCTGCCCGCTCAGCTTGTGGGGCTGCAGCCCGCGCCCGCCTCCGCTAACGCTGCCGCTTCTGCTGTGTTCGGAGACATTGTGCGCAAGTACGTATATGAAGTGGAGCATTTAGCCATGTATTCATTAGGAAACATTTGTTGATAAACACTGTTATTAAACTGTTCATAAACAATGAGTGGAGAGCAAGTGTGGACGGCCAAGTTTCAGAAACCTGTGTTTATGGTAAACTTGTTTCATACTAGTCATAAACAGTTTATCAACAAATGTTGCCTGTAAGTATTCATTACATGACTTTAGACTTTTCGCTGCCATCGCAACTTGTGGACTGCAGACTACACTCGCCTCCGTTATTTTTGTAGACATACCTAGTGCAAGTACGTATGAAATCATGTGGTTTTTGACTTTTTACTGCGACAACCACTACAGGTGTCGCTTCGCTGCCGTCACAACATGTAGGCTGCGCCCGCTTCCGCTATTTGGAGGCGTAGTGTATTAGTAGACACCCGGTGTCGCTGCCGGCTTAACAAATTGTAGCATCGAGAAAAAGTCAAAAGTTTAGCCGTGAAAAGGTTTTTTATCTCCAATGGTCTTTAAAAATATTACACGGCGTCGTTGACGTCGTCAGTCAGCAACGAGCAACACCACAATATTTCAGTCATGCATTCCTATCGTCTATACATCATCAGAACTCGCTGATCCCAAATGCAACATTAGTAACTGAGTTTCTTGCGCTATTTCTTGTCAGTACTGGCCCATATTATTGTCTTGATCAGTGGTAGGGTTGATTGGGGACGTGTAAAATGCTCTTTGAGGGTCTTTTTCAGAAAATGGTGGTGTTTGCAGTTCGCTCCTTTATTAATTAGTCGATAATTTTTCTTTTGTCACTTTGTTTACTAATTTTTATGTAAATTTATATTTTTCACAACAAAATAATGGTTTGCCCAACTTTATGTGTATATTTAACTGTGGAAACTTAATTGCTTTATGTGTTGTCTTACTGCACCTAAGTTAAATTATATTGTAACTGTATGTTTCCCAAAAATAAATAAATAAATAAAATAAATGAGTTTTTAACATATTCCAGACACAGCTGGCTCGGCAACAAAGCGGTGCAGCAGCTTGAAGCGGCGCTGCTATCTCTAGAGCGCACTTGCCGCGACTGGACGCGGCGGCTGGCGCTGGCGTGCGCGCGAGACATTCCAACACTGTGCGCTCAGCTAACGGAGCCCGCGCAGTTTGAGGACAACTTCAAGGCCTGCAAAGCTTATGGCCAGGCCGTGGCCAAGATGACCTTGTGAGTAGTATTAGTTGGGAGACTGACCGCGAGCCGTGAACGCGAATGCTTGCATTTTAGTGGGTATCAAAAGATTTTTTTTTACTTAAGGCGTGTCCGTTCCTGAACATTGTATGCATTCTTGAACAGTATTTAGATTAGGTGGATTAGCTATTGTCTTTACCTAATCTGACCCATCTCTAAAAATGATCCGCAAACGAACGCGGGGGATGTTTTCTACAAACTCCAGCAAATACGATTCATGTGTATTTGCTCGAAAAAATATTTAGGCCACGCCCATATTTGTGTTTTCAAACAATTTTCTGTTCAAAACATGGCGTAGCGAACACTTAATAATACTACTTAATAACTGTTTATCAACATTTTAATTAATAAACAACAATTTGATGTTTAATATTATATATAAATAATCCAGATGCTTCAAATCTATGACATATGAACAACATAGTTTATAAAGTTTCCGCATTTCTTTTAATAATAAGTTAATTTACTCCAGCGAGGACGAAAAGATCGAATGGATATCAGTCGGCACGGCTTCTCTCCGACGCGAGGTTGAAGCGTGCGCGCGCAGCTTATGGGCCAACCTGGCGGCCGCATTACAAAACAGCGCGCGCGCCGACGCTGCCGCTTTAGACGCCTTCGTGGCGCGCGCGTCGCAGGCGCTGCAAGGACAAACCGCGCCAAAGAACGCTCGGGAGTTGGCCGAGATCAGTGCGGTACAGCAGGCGCTGCGGAATAATATGCCAGAGGTAGGCTTCTGTGTATAGAACGATTGACAGAGTTGCATGTTATATTAGAAGTTCTTCGCTCTCAGTGGCACTGCAGGCCAGTGCACGTGCCGACGCTGCCGCTTTAGACGCCTTCGTGGCGCGCGCGTCCCAGGCGCTGCAAGGACAAACCGCGCCAAAGAACGCTCGGGAGTTGGCCGAGATCAGTGCGGTACAGCAGGCGCTGAGGAACAATATGCCTGAGGTAGGCTTTCTGTGTATAGCACGATTGACAGAGTTGCATGTTATATTAGAAGTTCTTCGCTCTCAGTGGCACTGCAGGCCAGTGCACGTGCCGACGCTGCCGCTTTAGACGCCTTCGTGGCGCGAGCGTCGCAGGCGCTGCAAGGACAAACCGCGCCCAAGAACGCTCGGGAGCTGGCTGAGATCAGCGCTATACAGCAGGCGCTGCGGAATAATATGCCAGAGGTAGGCTTCTGTGTATAGCACGATTGACAGAGTTGCATGTTATATTAGAAGTTCTTCGCTCTCAGTGGCACTGCAGGCCAGTGCACGTGCCGACGCTGCCGCTTTAGACGCCTTCGTGGCGCGCGCGTCGCAGGCGCTGCAAGGACAAACCGCACCTAAGAACGCCCGGAAGCTGGCTGAAATCAGCGAGGTGCAGCAAGCGTTGAGGAACAATATGCCTGAGGTAAGCGTCTATGTGTAACATAATATATGTATCCCACCAAAAACATTCTGTAAAAAACTAGCCAAGTCTCGATGGAGCTGCTTGTTTATCTCTAAAAAGTAATGAAATCTAGACAAAGTCGTGCCAAGTCTATGGTTCCTTACTGCGATTTCTTTATTATTATAGTTAATGTTGTGTGACTTGGCCGTTGAAGGGTGACAAAACCAGGTGCTCCATGACACCATTGCACCAATCAGTCGCCTGAACCGCTACCCACTGACGATGGAAAATTGCCACTTGGAAAACGTTGATTCAACAATAACCAGTCAATTGTAGGTTCAGTAAAGCTGCGTATTTATAATGTATGATTATCTTAATAAAGATTGTTCAACGGCCAAGTCACACAACATTAACTATAATAATAAAGAAATCGCAGTAAGGAACCATAGACTTGGCACGACTTTGTCTAGATTTCATTACTTTTTAGAGATAAACAAGCAGCTCCATCGAGACTTGGCTAGTTTTTTACAGAATGTTTTTGGTGGGATAGTGAGTGAGTGTCGTAAATGCGAAACTTTGCTTTCGCTTAACTTCGGAACTAAATGACCTACAGACTTGAAATTTTGGATTTAAAGTATGTGATTATAGCTTACTAGATGACGAAAATTTCTGCGTTCTGGTCTTATCCAGAGGTTCTCAAATAGGGGCCTGAAAATGCGGCGAAATGGTTCCAGTAAAGGATGGTACGGCAGTGTTTGCTTCGCGCTCGACTTGGCGGGGGCACTGCCGTGCCCCCAGATTAGTAGTCGATCGGTGGAGGCGACCCTACAAGAAAGCGCGCGCACATGTAGCCGCTTTAGACGCCTTTGTGACACGCGCGGCGCAAGCGCTGCAGGGACAAACCGCGCCTAAGAATGCTTAACAACAAATATTTTTATTTCGTAGATGGAGAAAACAGTAGAAGCCCTAAAACGCAAAAGTCACATGCTCCGCACGTGGGGCGGGGATGCATCAGCTGACGGCAGCATCAAGGAGTGGCATAAAGTCCGCGAGCTCATGCTGAGCCAGCAGCAAATGTTTGAACATCAGGTACGTCAACATTTCTTCTCATATATTGCTTCTAGTTAACGCTATGATTCAGTTAGATTTCTTACAATAATAAATTATTTATTCGATGACTTCATTATTACACACTCAACATCAAATAAATCGCACCTTCCGCGACGCGAACTTTAAAGATTTTCTTCTGACACAATCATGGTGCCCCAACAATATTGGTGTTATTTGAAAGCCCAATAAATGAAAGATAAACACATTTATTTTTTTATAAACAATTAACAGGTACCATAAATATAAATATAAATATTGTAAATTAATTGTAATTATTGTAACCATAAGTATCGATGTAGAACTGCAACAGCATCAACACAAACCTTAGTGGTTTCCTGAATGCTGTCAAAACAAATTTTGTCTGTAATTCTTTTTATTTGGTAAATAAATGAAAAAAAATGTGACTTGAAAAAAAAAACAAATCATGATATAACGTGTCCTCTTTAACAGATGGATAGCTTTTAATGTTGATTTTTTTTCGATTTCAAAAATCACAATGTTTGAATGATTTACTATTTCATTTGTAATTTTTAGGCCGAAATAGTGAAATCCAGTATGAGCGGTGAATGGGAGAATCTAAACACAAGCGTAGAAGCGTGGATGTCTCGTTGGGACCAGAATAAGCCGCGACTGGAAGAGACGCGCGGCGCGAGTTATTCAGAAATGGCCGACAGGTGTCGCTCTGTGTTCGAAGCACACGCGACCTGGGAGAAATTCGTCACTGATAGGGATATTCTCATGTAATTATACCTTAACTGTAACTTACTGTTACTTTCGTCGGCCGTTTAGTGTAGTGGTTCGGAACGGACTACTATGCGGAGAGGTCCCGGGTTCGATTCCCGGCCGGGCAGGGCCGTGTTACTATGTATCATGTATGTAATTAAAAAGTATATAAGTAGTATATCCTAGAGATGTGTAACTCGGATACACTATATCCGTTAAGCCCATAACACAAGCATATTAGCTGCTTACTTTGGAGCTAGATGGCGCTGTGCGAAAAAAATATATTTTAATTATTAAGGCGCTCCGAGACCGTAATAAATAAATAGTGTGTAATACTTTAAAATAACATTTAATTTATTTATTAATTTGTTGATGATTGCAGTAAAGAATGTGAGAAATTCGACATGAAACTGGAACCAACCAAGATGTGGGCAGAAGCTGAAAAACTTATGACGGAGTACGTGAACGTTTGGACCGTACTAAAAGATTACAACGAAGGTTTGCAAGCAAAATTGTGTTTTTATTTCTTATTTTGAATGATTTTGTAACAAAAACAATGATATTTTTTTAGAGTTTGATGCCATTTCTGAACAAGAATGGATAGTGTTCCAAAAGAAACTGCATCTGTTAGATGAGTTTGTATCGAAATGGAGTGATAAATTGGAACCATTCACTGTTGTCACCCTTTTCATTCAGCAAGATCTTGAAAGATATTCCGTAAGTTTTTCATTAAAAATGATTTTATTTAAAAAACATGTAAGTAATATTTACTAACCAAGGTAAACTATTGAATTTGTTAAATATTACCAAATTATAATTGATAAAATCGGACGAGCGAATTATCCCTTGAATCTTAAACGATATTTGGGCGGGGTCATGCGCAAAAAAATATGATTATCATTTGTGTTCAATGTTTATTAACTTAAAAATTTACATAAATCAGGATTTATCGACACTGCTCAAGTATCTTCGTGGGTCAGACTTCACTGAACGTCACTGGCGAGAGGTTTTTAGTCTGTTAGAAATGGAATATAAGAAACCAGACACCCTCCAAGTGAAAGATTTTTTGGCCGTGGCTTTGAATATCAAAAAGCAAATTAAAGCGCTGCAGGTATGAACAATTTCTGATAAGTATGGTATTGAATAGGTCAAGCTATTTTCCAAAATGATCGATATTTTTGTAAATCTGCATCATAGGGTTGTTATTCTGCTATCTAATAATACATAAAAGTTTGATAGTAACAACTAACACAATTTAAGATACATACAAGTAGATACAGTAATTCTTTATTTCCATTGTATCCACTCTCTCTCTCCATCCCAGGATTTTGGGCTACCGATTCGAATTCTATTTCATTTAGAATCAAACTGTAACAACTCATCGCACGACATGCCAAAGATTAACAGAACTAAATTCTCATTGCTGCATCAAAATTCGTCGGGCCAAATAACCGGCATTAACGCGAATGAAATATTGTAGAAAATCTGCACAACGGCATCAAGTGAGGCAGCAGTTCGGAGCGCTCTGAACGAGCTAGAGCTGTGGTTTGCGGGCGCTCGCCTCGCGATCACCTACTACAACGACAAGTCTAAGCGGCCCACGCCCATTGTGAAGGACTTCAAAGATATACTGGCTAAGGTAATTTTGTACTAATAAATACATAGACTAAATAGTAACACGGTCCGTAGCGCCCTCAACTAGCTTGAGCTGTGGTTCGCGGGTGCTCGCTTCGCGGACTTTCTGAATCACATTTTACATTGTTTACTTTTTTTATGTAATTGAAGCTTTTTGTTCTTGGCTTTTGCTCTGAGGGTCCAACGATTTAGAGCGCTTTCACATTAGGGCGTTAGTAGCGCGACTGCAGCGCGTCCGTCGCGCATTTGTCGCGCTGCTAAATCGCCTAAATGTGAAAGCGCTCTTAACTTTCCTCTGGTACTGAAACAGCTTTCAGTGGTTTCTTATTATGAGCGGTCAAACTATTACGACTAGGGTACACATGTGACAGGCTAGATAGCAATTCTGTCAAGTACCAATTTTTGAGACCAATAAATGGAGTTGGTAAAAAAGTGACGTGAAATCTATGAGAGCGCCATTTTGACTACTCTTAAAAAGTATATCTATTTGCTAGTGCTGATATTACTCTATTTCGTGGGTATAGATCGAGGAGCAGCAGTGGATAGTGGGTTCGGTGTCGGGCGGCGGCGGCGGCGACGCCTGCGCCGCTTGGGAGTCTCGACTGCGCGCCGCGCGCACCCTTGTGCGGGCTGCTCACCACGCACAGCGCAGGTCAGTACATAAAATTTACACACATAGTAATGATTCACATAGTAATAGTAATGCCGCCATTACACTGAGCGCGAAACTGCTCGAAACAGGTAGTGCAAAAAGAGGCACTTCATTTCGTTTCGCCGTGCGTCGTTCGTGCGGTTTCCGTATATTTCGATTTTCGCGCTTAGTGTACAGTGGATATAACACAAACAACATACACACACTGCAGCGGGATTAGGGTTACCGGCTGGTAAAATAAAAACTGTCAAAATGCCTGATTGATCTAAAAGTAGTACTTTTACACTTAACTTATCTTAGACGCTCACTCACGGCCACGATGTATTTACTACCTAATAATTACAGTAATACGTGTAAAATGTAACAAATTCGCTTGGTTCTAATTTTCAATACCAGAAATCAAGGATGCCACAGCCGGAATCGGAACTTTTTTCTGCTATTTACTCTGGGAGATGCATCCAGATGCGACCGCTAAAATTCATCCCTCGGTACCTCGTAACCCAGTCTGTATTATACTGTAATTATAACTTTCTTGAGCTAAACTTAAGAAATTGCTTAGGTAATCGATTGTTTTACTTCACTTTACGACGCTTCGCTTACTTCAAGGTCACTTTAAACTTTCAATGCAAGTCAAATCATTCAAAGTTCATACTTAGTCTACTTAAATCCATATTATTTTAAGCAAACTCACAAAATCACGTTAATTAAAACTGCATATATGTATGTATAAGGAATTTGTACTCAATTTGTCATGTCATACAAACTTCCCGAAATACAATGCATTTTGTAATAGCAAAGAAACGATTTGCTTTGCCCATTACATGTGTCCAACAGATGTGTAAGCTATTTTAGCGGCCCGGACGACGCGGCACTCGGTTCCTATTTACTCATTTGAGTCATTTGTTTTATTTTTAATCTAATCTATCTATGAGTGCATAAGCATTATCGACGTAGTAATTGGTGTTTTTGACATTAATTATATTTTATACTTTTGTTCACCAGTAGGTAATCTAATTTCTGAACTTTAGCTATTTGTTATTCTGGTGTATAAACAATTATGTAAAGTTTCATCAAAATCAGTTCAGTAGATTTTGCGTGAAAGAGTAAGAAACATATATCCACACAAACTTTCGCATTTATAAAAATTAGTAGGATAACGGAACTGCGCTGCGCGCTACTCGTACCTAATGTTATACTTTTCAATGGGATTCCCCTTGCTTAGTCCGTTGTCACATTTCAGCCATATTCAGCGAAATAAGAAACTTGCATACCTAAACATCTTTAACTTGTTTTATAGCCTGACCAGGAACATAAAAACCCTGGCATAGAGGCGCGTCAATTGCATTTGATAGTGCAACACTGAGTACAGTCGTACCTGTGTTAAATTAATAGGCTAACTTTATGTATCAGGATTCAGGATTACGGGCTAATTTGATATTTTCCTAAATTAACGAAAAAATATTATTATAAGTAACCTGGTTTAAATAAATTAAATGAAACCATCAATCGAGCTAGTAGGATTTATTTTATTATTCATCAATAATCAAATTCAGAACTTTTTTTTTTTTTATGCATAACAAGGCAGGTATTTGACCACAATCGCACCTGATGTTAAGTGGGATGCGGTCTAGGATGGTACATATCTGCCCTGTAAGTGCCTATTCACTCTCGCCTTGAAAAGGCCCGGATTATAGTTTTCGGGAAAGACAGCAGCAGGCAACGAATTCCAGTCCCTAGCTGTTCGCATTATAAAAGAGTCATCGAAACGCTTAGTGCGAGCTGGTGGAATGTCAACAATATAGGGATGGTACGCTAACCTGCGTCTGGTTCCCCGATGATGGAAGGGGGCTGGTGGAATTAATTCATGTAATTCTTTCGCACATTCTCCGAAGTGTAGCCTGTAGAAAACCGATAGGGATGCTACCTTACGGCGATGGTCAAGTTCCTGGAGCGCCGCTTCAACAAGGGTAGGGCTGTCGATAAGTCTTCTGGCACGCCTTTCCACCGAATCCAAAGCAGCCAAATGTTTCTTGGCAGAGCCGTCCCAGAGGTGGCAGCAGTATTCCATGCAAGGTCGGATCTGTGCTTTATAAAGCTGCAGCCTTTGCTTCTTGGAGAAGTACTGCCTTGCCCTCGAGAGGATACCAAGCTTTTTGGCAGCAGTTTATATATAGCAGCACTTGAATATTCAACTGCAATATTTGCTCATGAACGCTTCAAACTCGGTACTTCTTTCCCAATTCCATAAAATTCAACACTTAGAAAGTGACAATTTTTTTTTAAAATAGGTAGTTGAAACAAACCATAGCTAATTTTCATAGTGGACTGTACTATGCGATAAACATGTCAGTCAATTTGGCAACCTTTGTCGGAAACATAATTCAATGAAAATATTATCCGAACCCTTAGTATTTCTCTTCGACAAATACTTTAACACATTGTGAACCACTTTTCTTTCACGACTATAAAAAGATTTTAGCAATTTAATTCACAAAATCAATTGCTCACATTTAAAATAAAGTTTGTTTACACTTTGACAGCAATAGACTGACATGCAAGGTGACATGTCAATGAAGTTTTCAGTTACTGTTGCCATTAAGGCGATTAGAGTCCTCAATGACCTTGGGCGTTTGACCTTTACGCCACGCGCAACACCCGCGTACCCCGCACGAAAACTCCGATTTGACACCGATAAAAAATACACGGGCATAAGTAGATACAGAATAGAAGCTCTTTCTTCATACATTACTGCCTATTATTTTAAACTTGAATTGATGAACCTTGATGTCGGTTTCATTTAAATCAGGCGTGAAGGTATTTAATAAAATTAACAAAATCCATGAACATTTTGTACGGGATATTTTTTTTTATTATATTTGATTTTTTTGTAAATTTTCTAATATTTTTGTCGGTTCAGCCGTTCTCGAATTTTGAACAAACCCGACTTTATTACAAACTGTTATTAAGCTTGCAATTAATGATTTATGTAGGTAACTACATAAATGTTTGTTCGGGTGGAATCTTGCAAGCTGAATTAATTACATTCCTGACGACAACCTACAGTTGTTGTGTTCCCAGCGGTTCCATAGTGCTGTTAACATGCGAAAATGCACTGCCTGAAAGAATCACACAACCTATTCCGACTACACATGACTAGCTGCGCTTATGAATCGCTGGAAAGGGGTATCTTTGTTCAACAATTACGTCAAAACTAATGAACGTAGACTAATGAATTTACATTTGTTTTGTAGAATAGCTCAAATACTAATACATAATACAATGCAAAGAAAACATACTTTAACGACCTGGTTTTACTTGTGTTGGAAGAAAACTGAAAAAGAAGTGAAAAAAGTCATGTTTACTTCCTCAAAATGTAATCAAAACTTGTGTCTGTTTTCTACTTCTACTAATAAATAATTTTATTGACTATTGCATGATATAAAATATTTGCTTATTAGTGTTAAGTTTCCCTTGTTTTTAAAGGAAGAGATGAAAACTAAAAATTAAAAACTTAAATCCTTGTAAGTTTTCGAGAAATGGGTCAAGCCCCAAATTTGAAGTATTTTCATCGATAAAATTGTCTATAGATCATGTCGGTACGTTTCATGGTTAGGTAATTTAGGGAAGTTTATTTGCACTTAACATGAAAAATATGGTATCAATGTACTGTGTACCTATGCACCTTCAGTGGCAACAACAAGGTCTAGTGAGTACCTATAGTCTACTAAAGGCATGAAATAGATTAATTTTCACAAAAAATTAAAACCAACTCCAAAACGAATCACCAAAACGTAGGCTGCCACCGACTCCGAAAATATCAATCATGATATACTTACGGGCTAATTTTGTAATCAGTATCCAAATTTTTTAATAAGCTCTATAAAAAAATATCAATATCACTTTATATTAATTATTTTTAATTGTGGTTTTTTCGCGAATAAACATATTGAAAATCTAATTCTAAATGGCCCATTTGCGCCGAGCCTAAGTATGAAAAATATAAATTGTTTTCTTCACGTAAATCGATTAAGTTACTGATTCTGACTCGCTCCTAATTTGGATACTGATTGCAAAGGCCTAGTAAATAAATAACGTAATAATTTTTCTACGTTTACTTATCTAGTGCAGTTGTTTTGGAGTCGATTTTAGTTTTATTACACTAATAGATTCTATTTAGGTAGATAATAGCGTTCAAGCGCGTCATAATTCAATCGTATCGTCTGACTGCAGGTACTCTATGAACCACTCTGACATATAATCTATTGTCGAACAAAAGCTGGGTTGCACCATCTTATTTTAAATTTGACAAAAGTCAAAAATCTGTCAAACTCCATACAAAAAAACACCGGTTATCGCCAAAGCTACGGTCAAAGTTAGTTCACGTCAGGTGGTGCAACTCAGCCAAAGAAAAAATTCATTTTGATCGCTAATGTCAGTTTGCAGCGAGTGACACAACCTCCCCGTCTGAAGGCCAGCGGCCGACTGCCGCCCGCACCCCGCGAAGGCCCCCTCAACAGGAAAACGTTCGGAATTTATCAAAAGTAAAATTTATGAATGAAAGTAATATTCGATTGAAAAACGCAACGTGTCATTTAAAGATTAAAGAATTCCTAATCTATTCGTGCAAAAATCTTTTAAATTAACATAGCCGTTTGGGAGGAGTAGGGAATTTAAGTAAAAAATCGATGTCCCGTATTTATTTTTTTAATCCAAAACAAAGAGACGTAGCGAAAATTCAAACGTCACAAATGTAGTCCTTGAACTGTTGTATAACATATATTTTTTTCAACTATTTCTGTCCAGCAGTAAAAGAGGAGTAGGCTTTACAAAATGCCCATTTGACGCGGATTGAGGACTCTAATCGCCTTAAAAGAAATTAGTACCATTAGTTTTCCGCAACATGGCGAGGGTTTTTATGTTCCTGGTCGGGCTATAAATATGATATTAAAACATTTCCAGTTCTTCACGTGAAATTGTCATTGACATAATGATAATAAGCAAAATGATATGTGAAAACATATTTTACTTATAGAAAATTACTATAAGTCTAAAGTCCTTTATTTACACAAAGCTGAGTTGCACCACCTAACTTTGACCGTAACTATGACGATACCCGTTGTTTTTTGTATGGAATTTGACAGATTTTTGACGTTTGTCAAAGTTAAAGTAAGATGGTGTAACGCAGCATAAGACTAAATAAACACTTTTCTAAAATTAAATGCGTTATAGTCTTTACTCAAAACTATTTCAACTTTCATAGAAGCTTTGTAGTCACTAACTTATACATTCCTATTCATTACGAT